TTTTTCCCCTTTTTTTCCCTTTCCCCCTTTTTTCCCCTTTCCCCTCTTTTCTTCCCTTTTCCCCCTTTTTTTCCCTTTTCCCCCCTTTTCCCCCCTATTCCAGCGGGAGCTGCTTCCCCCCGGAATTGGGGGGGGGGTGGGGGGGATGATCCTGATTTTTTGGGGGGATTTTTCCAGGGAGAGGGAACGTCGGGAGAAGGAGAGGGAGGAGTGGGAGCGGCAGTACAGCCGCCAGAGCCGCTCCCCCTCCCCACCCCCACGGCACGGTGGGTGAGAGACCCCCAAAAAAAACAAAAATGGGGGGAAAAAGGGTGGGGAGAGACCCCCCACATCCCAGAAAAAATAGGGAACAGATTCCTGGGGGGAAAAGGGGTTGGGAGGAGAGCCCAAAAATGAGGAGGAGATTCCTGGGGGGAAGAGGTTTGGGAGAGACCCCCACACCCCAAAAAAATTGATAGCAGATTCCTGGGAAAAAGGGTTTGGGAGAGACCCCACACCCCAAAAAAATAGGGAGCAGATTCCTGGGAAAAAGGGTTTGGGAGGAGAGCCCAAAAATGAGGAGATTCCTGGTGGGAAAAGGGTTTAGGAGAGACCCCCACACCGCCCCAAAAAAATAGGGAGCAGATTCCTGGTGGGAAGAGGTTTGGGAGAGACCCCCAAAAAAATAAGGAGCAGATTCCTGGGGGGAAAAGGGTTTGGGAGGAGACCCCCCCAAAAAAACCAGGAGCAGATTCCCAGCCTTTCCCTCCCCTGACCTGGGTGGGATGGGAAGGAAAAGCTGTGGGAATTCCAGGGGGGAAAACTCATCCCTTTGGAAAACTCATCCCTTTGGAAAACTCATCCCTTTGCCTTGCAGGTCGGGAATACAGCTCTTCCCGAAGGTACAGCCCTTTTCCTGGGATCCAGACCCTTTTTCCTGGGATCCAGACCCTTTTCCTGGGTTCCTTTCCCTCATTCCCGCATTTCCATCCCCTTTTCCCGGGTTCTTTTCCCCCTTTCCTGGATTCCTTTCCCTCTTTTCTGGGTTCTTTTCCCTCTTTTTGGGGTTCCTTTCCCTCATTCCCGGGTTCCCATCCCCCTTTCCCGGGTTTTTTTTCCCCCTTTCCTGAGTTTCTTTCCCCCTTTCCTGGGTTCCTTTCCCTCATTCCCAAGTTTCCATCCCCCTTTTCCTGGTCTCCTTTCCCCCCTCCCCATCCTTTCCTGGTCTCCCACCCCCCCCTAATTCCCGGAATTCCCCCCTTTTCCGCAGGCATTCCCGGTCCCGCTCCCGGAGCCCCCACTACCGGCACTGAGGGGGCCCCTCTGGAATCCAATAAACCCCCCAAATCCCATGGAATTGCAAAATCCTTCGGGAAAAGGGGCCGGGGGAAAGGGGGGGTCCCAAATCTTCCTCTGGAATCACAGATCCCTTGGGAAAAGGAGGATTTATTCCCTGGGGAGAGGGAGGAGAATCCCAGGAGGTCCCAAATCCTCCTCTGGAATCACAAATCCCTTGGGAAAAACTGTCCCAAATCCTGTGGAATCACAAATCCCTTGGGAAAAGGGGCTGGGATAAACCATCCCAAATCCTCTGGAATCACAAATCCCTTGGGAAAAGGGGCTGGGATAAACCATCCCAAGTCCTCTGGAATCACAAATCCCTTGGGAAAAGGGGGATTTATTCCCTGGGGAGAGGGAGGAGAATCCCAGGAGGTCCCAAATCCTCCTCTGGAATCACAGATCCCTTGGGAAAAGGCGGGTTCATTCCCTGGGATGAGGAAGGAGAATCCCAAATCCTGGGGAATTACAAATTCCTTGGGAAAAGGGGCTGGGATAAACCATCCCAAATCCTCTGGAATCACAAATCCCTTGGGAACAGTCGGTTTTATTCCCTGGGAGGCTCCTGGATGAGGAAGGAGAATTCCAGGACATCCCAAATCCCTCGGGAACAGTCGGTTTTATTCCCCGGGGGGCTCCTGGATGAGGAAGGAGAATTCCAGGACATCCCAAATCCCTCGGGAACAGTCGGGATTATTCCCCGGGGGGCTCCTGGATGAGGAAGGAGAATTCCAGGACATCCCAAATCCCTCGGGAACAGTCGGGATTATTCCCCGGGAGGGTCCTGGATGAGGAAGGAGAATTCCAGGACATCCCAAATCCCTGGGGAACAGTCGGTTTTATTCCCTGGGAGGCTCCTGGATGAGGAAGGAGAATTCCAGGACATCCCAAATCCTCCTCTGGAATCACAAATTCTTTGGGAATGCGTGGGTTTATTCCCTGGGAGGCTCCTGGATGAGGAAGGAGAATTCCAGGACATCCCAAATCCCTCGGGAACAGTCGGGATTACTCCCCGGGGGGCTCCTGGATGAGGAAGGAGAATTCCAGGACATC